TGCGCATTTCCATTCATTTCTATGGATTTGAAAACACTCAAAAACGTGAAAAATTGTCCGAATTGAGCTACAATATAAACTTCAGAACTTGTGTGAGCTTCAGGCGACTTGGAGTGGAGACTTGAAGCGTTTTTTGATCTTCGAGCTTCAAGCTACAAATCGCTCAAGTGTGAATGCAGCCTTCAAGTCACCACGCTTATTAACAAAACAGGTTAAAATAGACCTTTTGGACATGCCCCAAGATTAGATATTTCTGGCACTCAGTAGTGCGCTATGCCAACTCGCACTACAAACTACCTACCTCTAACCTATGAGTGTATACTTCTTAGGTCTAATCAATATCCCAGGTATCAAAATTCTAAGACGCTGTAAACAGCATTTTATTATTATATCCTTTTGTGGCATGGAAAGCCATTCTTCTTCAGTAGAATCTACTCTTAACCCCCCGCCGCTTCTTTGTTCTTAGATAATTATCTTATGTTTTCCATATGGAATGGTTGGAGGCATCTTTATGTAAGGACTCACGGGGTCCTACATTTTTTGAGGTTTTAGAATCTTTTATCCAAACCTTGCCAGTAGATACCCAACAAACTTACGTCTTACCCCCCCCCCCCCCCCCCCCACTTAAACTGACATATGTATTCCACTCTATTACCTGAGGACTCCTTTCTACTCTACCTCCTAATTGTTAGTTCAACTGCCATTGATATAAGTTCTTAAGGTTCACTCCTGGACCCAGCGCTGCTAGTTTGTCACCAAATTGTACTACTAAACTGTACTAATAAACTGTGCAATGTCATTCTCATCTTGTATCACTGGCCAAATGTTGCGATCAATCTTCTTGTTAGTCCACTATTGAACTAAGCCCTAATTGTAAATCATCATCTTTGACAAATAACAAATCTATGCCGGACAAGGGCCCTCATCTGGCATAGATTTGTTATTTGCCAATCTTCTTGTTAATTGCATTGTAGCATAAATTTTAAATTAAAAAATTAATATACTTTTTTTATTTTATCAACTTATTTTAATGCAAAAAATTGATAAACGTATCATCTAAAAAGCTTTGCATCTCGGCATACATGAGATTATTTCATATGAGTATATCAACAGTGTATATACTGTCAAGCCTAGCACATACCATTACAACGGTGTATCACTCCACCCCCTATATGTACAATATATATACAATCTATTGCATAGTAAATCCCCTGCCAAACCAAGGTGATTTACTGCAGGTAAGTTGATGGGGGCGAGGGTACAGTTCTTCAGCGCATTTCTCAGGCTCTGGAACCCGCTTCATAAGGAAATTGGTGGAAATGTATTTCCAAAATTCCAAATGTTACATTTATGTCAGAGCTACATGATATACAAGGCGCAACCATGCAGCAACGTTCTCCAGTCCAGAGTTGTGCAAACAAATGGAATAGAGGGTATATCTATCTCCCTCTCTTCTCTAGGTGGACATCAAGTTCAAATGGAGGGTCCAAGACCAGCAGGATTATGGGACACTGAAGTAGAGGGCCAGTCTGAAAAAATGTAAATGCAGGTTCACTGCGCCTATTTCACTAAGACGCTATATATTAATATACAATGTTTAATATTATGCTAGATATCGTTCAGTGTACTAGTTTTCTAAATTGTCCAGTGACTAGTTATCTGTGGAAGTCTCAGCCAACAGTGTCTGCAGGTACTTCATATAAAAATATAAAAAAGAAAATTTCAGATGTATCAGGAGCTAAGCATCATATATACTGTATGTGTGCAAATTAAAGCTGAACATTGGGAATTGGATAACATTTACTATTGCAATGATTACACCCCCTCCTCCTCTATACCCTGCACAGTACACTCCATCCTCCTGTATACCCTGCACAGTACACTCCAACCGCCTTTATTCCCTGCATTGTACACCCTTGTCCTGTATACATTGCACAGTACACCCCCACCTCCTGTATAACCCTGTACAGTACAACCCCTCTTCCTCTACGTGTACACCCTGCACAGTACACATCCCCACTTCTGTATACCCTACACTGTAAATTCCTTTTATCCCCCTGTATACCCTGCACTGTACACACCCTCCTCAACCTGTATACCCTGCACTGTACCCCCCCCCCCCGGTATATCCTGCACTGTACACCCCTCCTTCCTGTATACCCTGCACACCCCCTCTTCCCCCTGTATACCCTGCACCGTATTCCCCTCCCCCTGTATACCCTGCACTGTACCCCCCCATATACCCTGCACTGTACATTTCTCCTCCCTGTATACCCTGCACAGTACACACCCTCCCCTTGTATAACCTGCACTGTAGTCTCCTCCTTCCCCTGTATACCCTTCACTGTACCCCCCTCCTCTCCCTGTATACCCTGCACAGTACACTCCCTCCCCCTGTATACCCTGCACTGCACACTCCCTCTTCCCCTGTATACCCTGCACAGTACACTCCCTCCCTCTGTATACCCTGCACTGTACACCCCCTCCTCTCCCTGTATACCCTGCACTGTACACCCTCTCCTCCCCTGTATATGCTGCACTGTACCCCCCTCCTCCCCCTGTATACCCTGCACTGTACCCTCTCCCCTTGTATACCCTGCACTGTACACCCCCCCCCCCCTCCCCTGTATATCCTGCACTGTACCCTCCTCCTCCTGTGTACCCTGAACTGTACTCCCTACCCCTGTAAATCCTGCTCTGTACCCCCTGCCCCTGTATACCCTACAATGTACTCCCCTCCTCCCCTGTATACCCTGCACTGTACACCACCTCCTCCCTGTATATCCTGCACTGTACCCCTCCTCCCCCTGTATACCCTGCACTGTACTCCCTATCCCTGTATATCCTGCACTGTACCCCCTGCCCCTGTATACCCTGCACTGTTCTCCCTATCCCTGTATATCCTGCACTGTACCCCCTGCCCCTGTATACCCTGCACTGTACTCCCTACCCCTGTATACCCTGCACAGTGCACCCCCCTCCTCCCCCTGTATACCCTGCACTGTACTCCCTATCCCTGTATATGCTGCACTGTACCCCCTGCCCCTGTATACCCTGCACTGTACTCCCTCCCCCTGTATACCCTGCACTGTACTCCCCTACCCCTTTATACACTGAACTGTACACCCCCTCCTCCCCCTTGTATACCTTGCACTGTACCCCCTCCTCCCCCCTGTATACCCTGCATTGTACTCCCTACCCCTGTATACCCTGCACTGTACTCCCTACCATTGTATACCCTGCACTGTACTCCCTACCATTGTATACCCTGCACTGTACCCCCTCCTCCTGTATACCCTGCACTGTACTCCCTACCCCTGTATACCCTGCACTGTACTCCCTACCATTGTATACACTGCACTGTACTCCCTACCATTGTATACCCTGCACTGTACCCCCCTCCTCCTGTATACCCTGCACTGTACTCCCTACCCCTGTATACCCTGCACTGTACTCCCTACCATTGTATACACTGCACTGTACTCCCTACCATTGTATACCCTGCACTGTACTCCCTACTTCTGTATACCCTGCACTGTACTCCCTACTTCTGTATACCCTGCACTGTACTCCCTGCCCCTGTATACCCTGCACTGTACTCCCTACCCCTGTATACCCTGCACTGTACCCCCTGCCCCTGTATACCCTGCACTGTACTCCCTGCCCCTGTATACCCTGCACTGTACCCCCCTGCCCCTGTATACCCTGCACTGTACTCCCTGCCCCTGTATACCCTGCACTGTACTCCCTACCCCTGTATACCCTGCACTGTACTCCCTACCCCTTTATACACTGAACTGTACACCCCCTCCTCCCCCTGTATACCCTGCACTGTACACCCCCTCCTCCCCCTGTATACCCTGCACTGTACCCCCTCCTCCCCATGTATACCCTGCACAGTAAACCCCCTCCTCCCCCGTATACCTTGCACTGTACCCCCTCCTCCACCTGTATACCCTGCACAGGGCACCCCCCTCCTCCCCCTATATACCCTGCACACCCCTCCTCCCCCGTATACAATGCACTGTACCCCCTCCTCCCCCGTATACAATGCACTGTACCCCCTCCTCTCCCTGTATACCCTGCACTGTACCCCTCCTCCACCTGTATACCCTGCACAGTGCACCCCCTCCTCCCCCTGTATACCCTGCACACCCCCTCCTCCCCCGTATACAATGCACACCCCCTCCTCCCCCTGTATACCCTGCACACCCCCTCCTCCCCCTGTATACCCTGCACACCCCCTCCTCCCCCCGTATACAATGCACACCCCCTCCTCCCCCTGTATACCCTGCACACCCCCTCCTTCCCCCTTATACAATGCACTGTACCCCCTCCTCCCCCTGTATACCCTGCACAGTGCACACCCTCCTCCCCCCCGTATACAATGCACTGTACCCCCTCCTCCCCCTGTATACCCTGCACAGTGCACCCCCTCCTCCCCCGTATACAATGCACTGTACCCCCCTCCTCCCCCTGTACCCTCCGTCTTCCCCCTGTATACCCTGCACAGTGCACCCCCTCCTCCCCCGTATACAGTGCACTGTACCCCCCCCTGTCACTGTCAGACCTGTAGCTGAGATCTGATAGACGTGTCCTGTAACCCGTCCTGGCATCCCTCGCTGTCCCCCCCCCCCCCTTCCCCAGACCCCACAGATGTGGACTCGCTTCCCTCCCCGATGCTCGGCTTTGTCACCGTCCGCTGATCCCCGTCCCATGAAGTGTATGGGGAGCCGGGAGGGGGGGGGGCCGGGCGGTGTGTGAATTAGCGGCGTGGAATGAGCTTTCCATATATAAGTAGCTGGGAGGGAAGGAAGCGGCGCTCTAGTCGCTGATCGCCATCCAGGGAACAAGAGGAGTCCGGCCAAGTCACCCATCAGGAGCGGACTTCTGCACTGCCACCACCGATTGCTGGATTATCGAACACTTCTGTGGGCAGCAGGAGATCGGCTGTGTGGATTATTAGAGATCGTTGTGCTGCAAGGAGATCTGCTGGGGTCATGGCACACGGGCGCTTCCCTCTCCTCACCTTGCTTTTAGCGATCTTGCAGCAGGTAAAGGTGCCCATGGAAGCCCCATTCTCTGGGCTGCTGGCAGTCTGTGGCTTCAGAGAATCTGATTGTACAATCTTCTTCAGATCTACCGTCAGTTCTGTAGTACAAGGACCTACCTGACTGGATACAAATGAAATGGGGCTCGGTTAGGTCTGTCCTCCTATGATATGTTCTTGGTAAATCCAAAGGGGATTGTACAATCAGTTTGTAAAGTGTAGGGCCAGCTTTAGATGACTGATGATGGGACGGTGAGATCTGATCGGGGGTCTTGTGTATTTCTCTCTAAGGTGTCGGGCTCTGGGGTCTTCCAACTGGAACTTCAGGAGTTTATAAACACCAATGGGATGCTGGAGAATGGCGAGTCGTGTTTACCCAACTGCCGGATCTTCTTCAAGATTTGCCTCAAGCACTACCAGACTGTGGTGTCCCCAGGATCGTGCACATTCGGCAGTGTGGTCACCCCAGTGCTGGGATCCAACTCCTTTATTATTGGGAATGTGGAAGGCTTTTCCAACCCCATCAGGCTGCCCTTTAACTTCACATGGCCGGTAAGAGGCTCCTTATCTTCAGTGGTGGCCATACACTCTTCGATTTTATTATCCGATCGTTGTTTGGTTTAAATCGGCAAACAGTCGCTTAGGCGTAACTTTCCTTCCAATCCTGATTTAAGGTCAATTGGCCAAGGCAGAAAATTATTGACTGTGTTACGTCAATCAGCATCACTGAGGTGTTTTGTTCATTAATTTGGTTTTATTTTCAATCAAATTATGAGATAGCATGGTGAAATCAGAAATACAATAGATAACGTATGGTTGTATCTTCAACTATTAATCAGAATCCACTTCCCTGTGTGTGTCATTTCATATGGGTTGAGGACTATAGAATGTTTGTTGCCATCGGGAGAGATTGATCATAAAGTGTGTGTGTGGGCACTTCAAAGAGATTGGTCCATTGATGATGCTTATTGTCAATGATCCTTTGCTTGTCTGTTAGGGGTACACATTCAACTGGATACACCAGAATCAGTTGAATGTGCTTTTAAATGCTGTACCAAGACATAGGCAAAAAAAGCATGGAAAAGCACATCAGTAAAAGAAAAAAAAAAATTAAAAATGCCAAAAAATGCATTGTAAATGCACACACGGAACCACACACTAATGGAAGGGACTGCGGTGTAAACAAGCCCTAAATGTCAAGCCAGATAATTGTGTGCATTTTGTGTATAAACACCCCAAAGACTGAATGGTTAATTAGAGGCTTATTTACACATTGGGGACAGTTCCATGAATTAATCAACGGCGTCAGATATTGATGGCCAATCACATCCTAAACAACCCTTGTGACAGATGTTGACAACTTCAGATGGGTTCAAAGTCTGCTGGCACCAGACACAATAACACGGGCATACCCACCCCCATCCCCTCTGCTGAAAATAAACCAAAGAAGCTCGTTTAATTGAGATCTAGGCAGTAATGCTATACGCAATTAGATTAATTAAACAGCACAGGCGAGCATGAGCACCTGTAAAGAGTGCATTGTCACTTTGTTGTCATTGCCGATTTTGTCGCAGTTCTGTGTTTCTTCGATGTCCTCTTCTGCCCTTGCATTAAAAAGTGTTTTTGTGTTTTATTGCAGAAAACCTTTTCCCTGATTATTGAAGCTATCCATAAACCTTCAGGTAATTTTTATAAACACAAGGGGGCGCCATTGCTCCACCACCCATAGACCCCCTGATCTATCCATACATTTTATAATTAAAAAAGAAAGTCAGAAGGTTGAGGAAATTAGGACAATTCATTTAGGATCTGGCCTACAAAAGAAAAGAATTGGCCTATTTTTTTTTTTATTACTTATTTTTCGTTAACCTATGTTTTGTTAAAGATCGGAATCAGGCTCCCGCTTTGATATGTATACTTTTTTTTTTCATGTCCCTTCATACCTAATCTCGAAACACAATTGCGTTTCCTCCAGTTTATTTTTGGCGTGGGAAAGAAGTCCGCTCTTTGGTGAGAAAACCAGAAGTCTGCCAAATCGTCCTGACTGCCTTTTCCTGTATTTTACACCTTTTACAAATTCCGCCCTTTGGAAAAGAAATAATGGCTTTTGGATGTTTTGCTGACATAGAGGAAGAGAATATTTCAACAAAACAATTCTCACGTTGAAAAATTTCTTGAGGCTACAAACTCTGAGACTAGACTGCTCACCTTGGAGTCCCAGCTTTTGATATTGGATTATTTTCAATAAGACAACAAACAAATATTACATTAAATATATTTATATAGTACCTCTGGATTTGGATGTATTTTCAAATCTAGTAATAATACAATTTTTTTGTTTTCTTTTGGGGTTTTTTTTCCTTTTTAATTCTCATCTACTGGGTTGCTTTGGCTTCTCTTTAGTTGTCATACACTTTAGCCACACCATGTGATTCCCACATTCCAGTCAATTCTTTGGGACTTTTAGGGAGTATTACAAAACATAGGGTGAAGAAATTCCAAGTTGAAGCAAAGCAGGGAGACTTCCTCAAATTGTACACCCTGTTCGTCACCCTTTAATTTGCTTGCTGTTATCATAAATCATGATTTTTATATTTTTTTCCTTTTTAGGTTTAAATCAAAATGATAAGTTGGTCAGCAAGTTTACCATCCAAAAACCCCTCAATGTTGGTGAAGAATGGTCCTCAGATGGGATGTCAGGAGTACACCAGACACAGCTGAAATATTCCTACAGAGTTGTCTGCAGTGAGCATTACTATGGGGAAAGCTGTTCCCGGCTTTGCAAACCTAGAGATGATCGGTTTGGCCATTACGTCTGTGAATCAGATGGCAGTGTATCGTGCCTCAAGGGATGGAAAGGAGAATATTGCTCAAAACGTAAGTTGTATTTTCCTCACTTGGAAAAGCTTTACACCAGCCATTCTCAACCAAGGTTGTGGGGCAGCCTAGGGTTCCTCCAGAGGTGGTCAGGAGTTCATTGAGCTATGACTGATTGACCTCCCATTGGATGTTGCCAGCATATTTCTGGGGCCAACATCACTTGGCCAAGCCTTATTAGCTGCTTTTAAGGGTGACATTCTGACCATCATTGTCATGGGGCAATCAGCTCCCCACCACCAAGGGGCATTCTTCCCACTGGCCACCAATATATAGGGGACATTTTCCCACTGACCCATAAATTAAATTGGTTTTAGAGATATTTCCCAGATCCTCAAAATAGTTTCAAGGGTTATCTGAAGTAAACAAGTTTGAGTGTCTCTTTTACACAAACATTAGCATATGACTGAGATCAGTTGTTGTATCTATAAATTCATGTTTATTGTGTTTAGTGATTAGCACATTTCCTTTTAGCGGCTTTGATCCCTGACAAATGCCAGTTTGCAATTTTGCTGAACATAAATTGACTTGGTAGGCAGTGCAAAGAGCATAAGGCTGGCCATACACTATACAGTTTTCTGTCCAATTTCTGCCCAATTTCCTTTAGATTTAACTTCAAATGTGTAGTGCAAGGGCCTGCCTAATTGGATACAACTGAAAGTGTTGTTTAGGTTTAACCTCTTATATGGTTTTTGGTAAATCTACAGTAAAATTCTCAAGAAAATTGTATAGTGTATGTCCAGCCTTACTGACCTGCACAATGCAGTATCAAACTACCACCAGATCAAAGCTCAGTAAATGATGAATTCTGATTAGTTCCTGAGGGTTACTGCTCACTGTATACCTGAATTGTGTTAAATTACATATGCACTCTTCTTTAAAATAGCCAGGTGTATGTCAACACTCCAACAGGCATTGTAATATAATGGAAAATAAATGGGATTGATACTATATAAGAAAAAAAAGCTTCAAAGAAAACTGGAGTCATTACCAGTGACTGGAGGACTGGAGTCAGTACTTATTATGGGCAGATGGAGAAAATGACAATTGAAATCTTATCCTATAGGAAACCGATCGTAAAGATCAGTTTTGCTGTAATGTCAAAGTTCCATTGGTCCTTTCTCATGTCCTTTTTATGCATGCGTTCACCTTGTATGTGTTCACGTTTCTGTGTATTTTTTTAATGTTATGCATAATAATAGAGAAATCAGAATATAAATATTTCATACAGCTGTGGTAGACCATATGACGTGCCTTTATCTTTAATTTCAATGTCTGCACATAGGAAAGCTCAGAAATGTTTTGTGTTCTATTATGAAGCTGCACTAGAGTCCCAGAGCATATACTGTATGTGAAACTTAGGGCTCATTCACACGGGGGGGCACTATAAACAGGAGGTTGAGCTGTGGTTTTACACCATACACATGCTGGGGGCATAATGCTTTGCTTCTTGGCTGCAGCAAAAATGACCCCCCCCTCCCCACTACACTTGGAATCTTGGCCATTACATCCACCCAGACCACATGACCCGCACCATCGACTAAACTGGCATGGGCCCATAACCTGCACATGACCCATGGGCCCCACCACCCAACCTCCACCTGCCTTACCACTAAATTGTTTATTGCAATTGTAACTTCAGCCTATTCACACCAAGATACTGTACGATCCTCACTGCTTCCTATTCTGCAGTATGCACTTGTACCTAGCATGCCTTATCACTCCCTATCATATGGGGCTGCATGGATACTTGGATACTCTTTTGAAAACTAATACAAAAAAATTTTGGAAAGAAAAAATAAACCCTCATCACATTCAGTGGGCAGTTTCATCACTGAAATCGACCCATTCAAGTGAATGGAGCTGTGGCGCAACTGCCTTGCTTACTGCAGTATGGTGGTTCAGCCTTATTTATTTATTACAGGTACTTCTATAGCACCATCAATTTACGCAGCACTTTACATATATTGTACATTCACATCAGTCCCTGCCCTCAAGGAGCTGACAGACTGTTATAATCCTTTTCAGGATTATAACAGGTGGAGAGAAGGTGAGAAATTACATCCCAACTACCTGTCAATCATCTTCTGAAAAGCAACACACTGTGCTTCACTTTTCAGAGGGAAGGCAAGGGCTGCCTCCCATCAATACAGGGACCTTGGGAATGATGGGTATTTCCATTTAAAATGCATGTGAAGCAGAAAACGATGTCTTTTATTGCATGAAAATGGCCAAATGTGATGGGACTCAGAGCCCTGACTTATCAAGTAGTAGCTCATGAACAGCTACTAGTATATACCCCATCCCAAATCTATATTCTAGATGATCAGTTACTGTTCTGCTCGGTCCTATGAAACCTAATTCTCTCTCCGTTTTAGTACTGTAGTCTAATTTAACACACAATTTAGCATCCTTTATGCACAAGAACACCTGCCAACATGGAAAGGCTGTCATTAGTCCCACGACAGATCCTCGATCTGCGTCTCATTCAGCTGTTCATTAAGAAAAAATGAAAGGGTAATGTGCTGGCTATAGAAAGCCGGAGAGTTTGTGTGATCACACGTTCTGCCCAGGGCTTTTCCCTTTGTCACATCGAGAATCCTGCTAATTAATCTAATGAACTTGTAGTAACATTTTAGTTTTTAAAGAGAAATCAAGGATGCTTTACTGATGCATGCTTTCTGCACTAAGCCCCCCTCCTTTGCCCCGGCACATACGCTATTAATATATCAGATTTGAGGTGGTAATTTATGAAAAGTAAACCAGTGAAGGAGACGGCCATTATTAGTGATTCCATCCAAGTGCAGCCGCTGATTTATTTATAGGTTGACGTACTGTAAAGACACAGGGCACAGGATAACCACACCTCGAAATACAATTCTACACGATGTAATGAAGACCTGAGACTCTACAAATGTATATTTAAACATCCCAGACTACTTTTTGCCAGCCACATATATGTAGTGGTAAGAAAGATGGGTGTTAATGCCCAGCCAATGCACATATATGTCCACGCTAGCATGAAAGCATGCTCCCAGCACACTGAGTTGTCACCTTCGGCTCACAGGACAGGCTCCCCAGTCATGTGACTACTGTGAGAGCCAATCCAGAAGCAACACTGTGTCCTGTCAGGGTTGGGACAAACGGTGGGCAGGAGGGACAGCTGCTCTGGGTGTGGTGGGGATTCGTGCTAGAAGGGATGATTTGGAAGGGGGATTTGTATTAGGATGGTGGATTTGAGTTAGGAAGGGGGATGAATTTTGTGCTAGTAGTGAGGATTGGAGGGATTTGTGCAAGGAAGGAAAATTTTGGTGGGGTGGTGGTTCGTGCTAGGAGAGGTGAATTGGGGTGGATTTGTGCTGGGAGAGGGGGATTTGGATGGGGGAGGGAGGATTTATGCTGGAGGGGTAGAATTATATTTGTGCTAGGAGGGGGGATTTGGAGAGGGAAAGGATGTCAGTTGGAAAGGGGATTTATACTGGAAGAAGGGGAATTTTTGTTTGAGGGGAATTTTGGCTTGCAAATGAAAATTTATACTTGGGGGTGAAAGAAAAGAATTGCTTGAATTTTTTTTTTGGGGGGGGGGAGGGGATTTTTGCTGACACATGTAGTTTGGCATCTTCGCCCTGGGCGCTAGGTGTCCCGGTGGCCTTTTAAAGTGGAAGCTGTCATCCAGGCCTCTGTTTGATTAACAACTGCTATGGCGCTGCACATGTGATCAGTAATGACTCTGGCCATTTGATGGGTTAACAGCACAAGCAGAGGAGATAGCATTCCTGGCATGCCGAGAATGGAACCTTTTTTTTTTTTTTTTTAACTGTTTAATTGATGAGTTTAGTTCCAATTTAGATGAGCTATAATGCCATTGTTAAGGGGTTAAAGATACTTAAAATGGAACTCCAGGGATTATCTTTATTTCCAAGCTACATTGGTGTAGCTTGTAACAATGTAATTATCCATATCTGTATATCTGGAGGGACGCTGGGCATGCAGGAAATCCCTGTAGTAGTTCACACTAAATCCAGTCTTCATTGTCATCTATTGAGGCCTCTGCCGAGCAGTTTCCTCTGAGTACACAGGGGGTCGCTCACTTGGCACAGCTGACATTCAGAAAACACCTCTTTTTTTTTTTTACTATGAATACAAGGCAGCGTAAAATGCGTTCTGTGGTTGGATGAAGTGGAGAGGTACAGTGATGTCATGATCTATCCTCATCCAATCAGAAAATGTCTTGTATTCTTTGGAAAAAAAAAGGCATTTTCTGAATGTTGGCAGTGCTCAGAAGGGAAGCCGCTGAATCAGGACCTGGAAGATCACTCCAAATATAATGCATGCACATGAAATATAATTACATTGGGTCAATCTGGACCAATGGAAGTCAGCAATAAGTTCAATTCCTGGCGTTTGGTGTGAATATAACGTTTTGGCCACTGAAATACATGTTTCTTCCCATGACTTCCAGTTTGGCAGCACTCTAATGGGCTTGGAGTGCAAAGAAGCCACCATGTGCCCCAACTAAAACTAACAAATCTGATTCCGCTTTCCATCAGTGCAGTAAAATGTCATTGGTAATTGGTTGCCATGGGTAACCGCTGTTTCATCATTTAGGGCCAGTTCACACTACATGCATGTCAGTTTTTCTTCTGCATCCAAAACGCGCAGAAAGTACGGTAGGTGATATAGCCACCAATACCTGTAAATGAAAATCACTTATATATACATGATTTTGCGCAGCCGAGCCATGCTGTAGCAGTACTTCTACTATAGGGTGGCGGGCAATATTCATCAGCAGTCTGACCCCCCCCCATCGATCCTGGCAAGGAAGTGATCGTTGTACCGGACCAATCATCTTTCCTGTCCTGCAGTCATACATATACACCGCTTGTATACGTGTGGCTCCCGGGCCCAGACCACATTGGCCCAGTACTGACAGGGATTGGTCACATAGGTTGGGATTGCGATCTGATGACACCTGAACTCCTCCCACATGTCACTGGGAGGAGTTCAGGAATCACTTCCAGGGCAGGGGGGGACTGACAACTCATGGGGCCCCAGACAGTAGGGGAACATGGAGCCCCTGTGTCCTTGCCCAAACTCAAAAAAGCCTATGAAAAGGTACCAGGGGCATCTCATGGGGCCCCCTACTGACCCCGGGCACTGCCCGAGTTTCCTAAATGGTCAATCCGCCCCTGTTCCAGGGTGTGATTAATGGGCGCTGTGACATCTATCTGTAATGAAGGGAATCCACTAACATTAAAGCAGCCAATCAGCTTCTAGATTTCATTCTCAAAGCCTATTTGCAAAATCTGAAGCTAGAAGCTGATTGGCTGCCATGCCCAGCTGCAGATGGAGGGTTTTCCCTGTCAGTGATCTGTGGGAAGGTGACTCCAGGCCATCAGTTGGTTTTCTGTGCATGAGAAGAAGGAAGAGTGTGATGTGGATGAAGCAATAGTGGAAAGCACATCGCAGTCACGTTTGGACAATTCCAGTCTTCTTGTCCGATGACTCATCTCTGCATGGAGAACCCTGACATACACAGCGATCAGGGCAATGGAAACACCTTATTATGGGACAACGCGGAGCGGGCAGGCTTGTTGTGTACACGACTCCGCCTCCTTACTGACACGTGATACGTCTCATTGATCACCACTGAGCAATGTATTGATTGACAATCGGGAGGGCGGGGTTAGCGTCACCAAAAAGGCCGGGTGGGCAGGGCTGCTCGCGTGGCTGAGAGTCAAGTGTAATGTGGCGGGACGCGTGCGGCGGGTCAGGAGGCACGCGCTCCATTGTTGTGGTTGGCTTTAGCCGGAGGGGAGAAGCTTAGAGAACAGCTGTGGGCAGGAGGTCCGTGGCGTACAGGAGCAGCTGTTCTCTACGAGGGGGGCGGTGTTCACACTCAACCGGCCATTAAACAAGACCCATGTAGAATCAATGACACCTGGGTGCAGCATCAGCCGTGACACACTTCTCCCTGAGGGGGGTGCTCTGTGTATGAGAGACTTCTCCCTGAAGGGGGGCTCTGTGTGTGAGGCTTCACGCAGAGGGGGGGCTCTGTGTATGAGAGACGTCTCCCTGAGGAGGGCTCTGTGTATGAGAGACGTCTCCGTGAGGGGGGCGGCTCTGTGTATGAGACTTCTCCTTGCGGGGGGGGGCACTGTGTGTGTGAGGCTTCTTCCCGAGGGTGGGCTCTGTGTGTGAGAGAGGGTTTTCCCTGAGGGGGGGCTCTGTGTATGAGAGACGTCTCCGTGAGGGGGCGGCTCTGTGTATGAGACTTCTCCTTGGGGGGGGGGGGGGGCACTGTGTGTGTGAGGCTTCTCCCCGAGGGGGGCTCTGTGAGAGACTTCTTCCAGAGGGGGGGCTCTGTGTGTGAGAGAGGGTTCTCCCTGAGGGGGGCTCTCTGTATGAGAGACGTCTCCGTGAGGGGGCGGCTCTGTGTATGAGACTTCTCCTTGAGGGGGGGGGGCACTGTGTGTGTGAGGCTTCTCCCCGAGGGGGGCTCTGTGAGAGACTTCTCCCTGAGGGGGGGCTCTGTGTGTGAGAGAGGGTTCTCCCTGAGGGGGTGCTCTGTGTGTGAGAGAGGGTTCTCCCTGAGGGGGGGTCTCTCTGTGGGAGAGGCGTCTCCCTGAGGGAGGAGGGGTTCTGTGTGTGGGAGGCTTCTCCCTGTGTGTTTTACTTTCATTTCAGACTGGAGCCTTTTTGGCTGGTGTAATGACAAGGGTCACAAGCATTCATTTTCTGCTTCCGTTAAGTCTATGGAGTCAAATCACCTGACTGCCCCATGAGAGGCTCAGGGACTTTTCTTTTTCTCTAGTTTGAAGTGACCCTCTGCTCATCTGTGAAGGAGTGCCATTGAATATAAATTTAAAGTGTGTATTTTTATAAAAAAAAAAGAAATCACAAAGTTCACCCAGAAAACAGTCATCTCCTCCTCCCTGCCAAGAACTACATGGAAAAAGTTGAATTGCCACAATGTGTAGAGCTGACCTTCTCTATGGTAGGTTCAGGCCAGGTGCAGGAAATGATCTCTCCATAACAAGCCATGTCTTCACAGGTTACAAGATTTCCTTCTTTTCTAAACCGTTGAATGAGCTGATATGCCATCCACAAATATGTAACGACCCTCCTCAGATGTATGCTCCCCCATCACAACCAATCTGCTGTATTGCATTTACTGTACCAACACATGCAGCAGGAGCTCCACTAACCCATACAGCAGGGATCAGCAACCAGTAGATCTCGGCCAGGTGACTGGTAGATCACAATCTGGGCTTGCTGACCAGACATCCAACAGTATAAAACTGAGTGCAATGCAGAGGGATTACTTGTAAAGTTGGAGCTGTAGTAGGGGAGCAAGAGCCGGATAAGTTGATGTCTCCTCTGTAGCTCTGTTCCTACGCCCTGTCATGGTTGGTGGGTGGAGCACTTTCCAAGAATGACCCATTCAAGTGAATGAGGCCGCTCTGCAAGTGCAGTACAGCAAACAAGGGGTTAAACAGGCAGCGGTGTGTTGCTTTCTCACCACCTGCCCCCCTCACTCCTTAGACCAGTGGTTGGCAAGCCGCTCGCGAGCCACATGCAGCTCTTTACACACTTCAATGCGGCTCTTCTGTGTGCCGGGCGCCCGCTCCCCTCCCTCCTCTCGGGCGGCCGCCCCAAAAGTCAGGACTCTGCAGCCCGGCGGACCTTTCAATCCGGCCCCGCGGAGCGTGGCAAACATTGGCTGTCAGGATGTAGGCGGGGCAGCGTGACGAACTCCTCTCCTCTCACAGTCCGCCCTCAAAAAAAGTATCTCATGCAGTTTTTGGATCACTGGGCTTCAAGCTCCAGCTGTCTGAACACTCATATGTGAACAGCCACCATTTTAATACATTGGATTTTGGATGTGGAGGGTTTACAAGTGCTCTAGTGTGAATGGAGCCTTCTGATTTTAATTGCTTGCTCTGTCATCTTTGTGTTTCCTATTTGTGCCTCTAGCAGCAGTTGGTGAGATCATGCAGTCAACTTCCTTGTGTTGCTGCTGAAATAATATCAATTGGAAAATAAGCCCCCCCAATCTTTCAGATACCCCCTTGTAAGTTCAGTCATGTAGGAAAAGTTTAGATTTCTTTTGACTACAACATATATATTTTTTACATACTAATCTGCTTATTGATGTCAATATATAGTAAAACAAACCGATATGTCATACAAAATTAACCGTAATTAAAAATTGTGTCTCCATAGCAATATGTCTGGATGGGTGCAGCGAGCAAAATGGTTTCTGCAACAGCCCTGGAGAATGCTCGTAAGTACTACTTGTTATACTGTATAAACCTGCACAAGAAACATCCGTTCACTTTATAAATTCTATCAACTGGGCAAGCTGGTCTGGGGTTTTGTTGCACGTATTAAGGAAAATGAATGGCTTGGTTCATACTATTGTTGGCTATAGTTTTTTGTTGATTTATGGTGAACACAAAGATTGCATCTCAGGAAAGTGAGTAATCCCTTTGTGATATGTTTGTATATAATTCTGAGAACATTTTGCATTTTACTAAATCACATCCTGTCTTTTATTTCGCTCAGTCACTCTGCATATTTCATATAAGGCTGTTGTGATGTCATGAAGTATTTACTCATTTTATCATCTTATACAGCTATATGCTATATTCCTAGGCTTAGCCTGTGGAAATTAATTGAAAAACAACCTTTATTATGCATCCCAGTCTAAGCTGCAGTTTTTTGATTGGTTGCTTATGGGTTACTGCATGTGTTTAACCACTTGACCTCAGGAAGGTTTTTCCTCCTTCATGACCAAGACATTTTTTTGCATAGACATAATCTTTTTCATAGATATAGAATTAATCAAATTAAATCAATAAAATATCTTCATACATTTAGACCAAAATGTATTCTGCTACATGTATTTGGTAAAAAAAAAATCCCAACAAGCATATATCAGTTGGTTTGTATACAAGTTATAGCATCTGCAAACTATGGTGTATATACTGTACAGGGACGGACTGACAACTCATGGGACCCCTGGGCAATAGGGGATCATGGGGCCCCTGTGTCCTTGCCCAAATTCAAAAAAGCATATGAAAAAGGTACCAGGGGCATCTCATGGGGCCCCCTCCTGACCCCGGGCCCTCGGGCAGTGCCCAAGTTTCCAAATGGTCAGTCCGCCCCTGATACTGTATATACTGGAATTTATGTAGCTATGATGCTATACTGGTAATATCAGTGATCAGCGACTTATAGTGGAACTGTGATAGTGTGGCGGGAAATTTGGCACTAACAGACCGTTACTGGGAGGTACACTAATTGACACTGACATCAAAAGTGACACTAATACAGTGATTAGATATAATGCTGTACACTGTCACTGTACTAATGACACTGACTGGGAAGAGGTTGACATGTAGGGGCAATCAAGGGGTTAACTGTGTCTAAAAAGTGTAATAGGTGCTGCTTTTACTAAAAGATCTGGCTTTTTAGATTGCTGCTCTGTGCTGTGATTGGACACAGCCAATCAGCAGGTCTCAGCCATAAATCATTGGCCGGGACTTGCTGACAATTGTGCTGTGTTCCAACTACAGCAGGGGGGTGTGCACATGCGCAGACCTGGAAGCAAGATAGCAATGTTTATTTACGTTGCTGAGCCTGCAGCTGCTTATTTATTGTGACTGAATGGCAATGGTAAATAGTCCCATATGTTTTCTAACCTTTCATCACATTGGACAGCGACTTAATATTGTTCTCTACATTTATGCAGATGTCGCCTTGGCTGGCAAGGTCGTTTCTGCAATGAGTGCATTCCCCACAATGGATGTAGACACGGCACCTGTCAGAATCCATGGCAGTGCATCTGTGATGAAGGCTGGGGTGGCCTTTTCTGCGACCAAGGTAAGTGTAAAGTTTGGATCCTATGACCTACTTTTATAGTTCACAAAAGATCACAACAGAGACTCTGAAATTGGGTTTCAGTTGGTTTAGAAACCCCAGATGTGTGTTTAAATTAAAAGGATGGCAGGCTGCCAAGTTTATGCTCTCCATGGAATATAAAGAGGAAAGGAGTTGTGATTTCAGTGTTTTTGTTGTGAATTGTGAAGATGGAACTGTGGTCACTGGGCAGGAATTTGGACAGGGGTTTAAACCTCACAGGGGTCCTAAAATGTATCCACGCTTCTGAAAAAGTTGTTGTTGTGGTCTATTTCTATTGGAAAGAGATCCCCTCACTTCCTGTCTTTCTGACCCAATTAGGATAGGAAGTAAGTGTAACGCTTCTTAATAAAAACAGTTGTGAAACCTGACAGGGGGTTCAAACTCATTTTCCATTATATTTATAACAAACACATTTTGGCTGGGTTTGGGTTTAAATAGGTTTCAGTTCTATGCATGAAACCCTAGCAACCATAAAACCTCTTTCAAAAGTTTGGTATGGATGACTTCTGATCTACTGCTATGGTTGATCTGCTGGGAGGCAGTTAGGAGAGTAGCTTAATAGTATTTCTTTACTGATTGATTTAATCTGTTACAGATTTAAACTACTGCACCCATCATAAACCCTGTAAAAATGGAGCCACGTGCATGAACACAGGACAGGGCAGCTACACGTGTTCTTGTCAAGCTGGATATACTGGGGTGAACTGTGAAGAGAAGATCAATGAGTGTGATAGTAACCCCTGCAGAAATGGCGGCAGTTGTACGGTAAGGAATAGAGATCTACATCTGTTACAGAACCTGTGACCTTGTCACTGTTAGCTGTATATTATAAATATAAAGAGGTATTCCACTTTGGAAATGTAGAAATCCCCCCGCTGACACTTAGTGCCTCTGATCAGTGCAGCTCACACTTTCACACTCAGAATTCTAGCAGTGTATCACAGATCAACAGCCTGGAGAGCATGCAAAAAAGCATTTAATTGCAGGCATGGAAGAAAGTAAGCAAGTGCTGAGAAATGAGATCATTCAGCAGATGTACAACTAGACAGAGCGTATGGGCAGAAGTAGTGTCCCAGCTTTTTACTGAAAGTGTATTATATATAAAATATCCAGAACAGCCGCATTCTATCTAACAGCCATATTCAAAATTGAAAGTGCATCTTCAGGGAAACTAGATTTTAAGATTCTGTTATGAAGGTGCTGCCCATGTAGATTTAATAGTGAAGTTAGGCTGGCCATAAACTTTACACTTGTCAGCAGTATAGGAGGTATTGTCCTTGTTTTCTACCTTCCTTGTTTTCTCAGCAATACAGAGCTGACTTGCTGGAACTAGATTCTTTCTTGCATCTGTTTGAACTATCAACATTTATAATGCATGTTTACTGCTTTGGGGAACTGTTCTCTTTTGTTTTTAAACAATCTCTGCCTTACCATACCGGTGTATGTTATGATTTCTCTGAAAGCTCAGCTCCAGCCAAAACCTTTTTTTTATAGAGTAATGAAGAGTAGGGTTGAAAACAGTGGCTGGGATATAGCCTTAATTATTCTAATTTACCAGTATAAAATGATGATTCCTTAAGCATCAAATACTTGATAATCATATTAAAGCATTTTTCTGTTTTCTCCTAGGATGTGGATAGTGGTTATGTCTGTGAATGTCCACAAGGATATTATGGAACCCACTGTGAACACAGCGTACTAAATTGTGCCGACTCTCCATGTTTTAATGGAGGTACATGTAGAGAACGAGAGATGGGTGCCAGCTATGCCTGCCTATGCCCGCTAGGATATACAGGTTCTAACTGTGAAAAGAAATTGGACAAATGTACAAACAATCCTTGTTTAAATGGTGAGTGTTTTATTTCCATGTTGTATTTATTTTCTTAGTAAACCAGTAGGTTCTTTCCAAGGTGCTTTTCCTGCATAAAGCTTCCGTTTTAAGTGAAAAGCCTTCCTGGGATGCCAGCTTTGTGTTTGGCATACACTAATACTCTTATACGAATCTGCATCATTGTTTGGCAACACTGGGGCAGCCCTAAGGAGACAATGGCACATTGTCCATTCAGGGCAAATTAACTGTGTTTCTTCACAGGGTCCCTTTCCCTCATCTCTGACTTCTTTACTCTTGACTTCTTGGCTGTACACCCTCACTGATCCTTCCTGTTTTAGGACTAAAATTAGCTGTATCAGGGAAGCAGTGTGTCACTCACTTGGTCATGTGATTATGTTTGGGCATAGTGATTGGCTGCCAAGCCTGAGGAAAGCACAGCGATTTGGTGGTTAGTCCTTATGCCTTGCATCACTGGGTCCCTTTGTTCGAGTCTTGACCAGGACACTATTTTCATGAAATTTGAATGTTTTTCCAGGTACTTTTATTTAGTTATGTATTATTTATTTCAGGTGCTTATATAGCGCTGTCAATTTACGCAGCACTTTACATATATATATATATTGTACATTCACATCAGTCCCTAACCCTCAATCTAAGGTCTCTAATTCACATTCATTCATACATACACACACTAGGGCCAATTTAGACAGGATCCAGTTAACCTACCAGCATGTCTTTGGAGTGTGGGAGGAAACCAGAGTACCCGGAGGAAACCCACGCAGGCACAGGGAGAACATGCAAACTCCAGGCAGGTGGTGCCAGGGCTGGGATTCGAACCAACGACCCTAGTACTGCCAGGCGGAAGTGCTAACCATTTAGCCACTTACAGGTTTTCCTCTTACAGTCCCAAAATATGCTGGTAGGTTAATTGGCACTTGTCTAAATAGTCTATAATATGTTTGTACAAATTGGCTATGCAAATGGGGGGGTTAAGGAAAGACCTGGTGACCTACCCCTTAAAATTCACCAAAAAACTTCCATGGAAAAGATCCTCAAGCATATCAGACACGGTCCCCAGAAATCTGTCCCGTAGATTCACAAAGAGTCAGATACACCAAACGACTATCGCATTGCAAATGGTCACATGCATCCCAATACCCAGAGGTACTAGATAGTGCATAGATGTTGTCAGGAGCAAAGGGAGGGTTGTACTTGTCCATATAAGTAAATCATAAATTCAAGTCTGTACTCTGACTGCTACAAATGAGTACTGTAATAATGGCATGAAAGAGCAGGAGAAAAACTGCTGCTGAAAAACTGTTAACAAGTTTCTGAGACAAATCTTAACTTTAACTAGTGATTGCACCCATTACTGGGCGCTGACTACTGCACTATTAGTTTTAACTGGATTATGTAAAACGAATTCTAAATGTATCTGTAAAGTTACATCTTTTTTCCTTTATCTGGTTCATTGCAAAAATATTTATTATGACAGAATGTAATCAGAATAAGAAATTGTACAATTTCAAAGTTAGTACTGTAGCATTATGAAGTATTGTGTTTAAAGTTTAATTATTTACAGACTGTAGATGTTATGTATCATGAACAGAATTTTGCAAAGAAACAGCCAAACAAATGCCAGGGCACACCGGTACACTTGGGGACACTGACATTTTTTATAGCTTATGTGTTTTCTAGTTATGTGATTTAAAGGGTAGTTTTGTGTGTGGAATAGGGAGTGGTCAGTTTTTTGCCATCTGTGCCTCATTGGGCAGATTTCGCCTCACTTTCTGCCCTGTAGACATAGCAGGAAGTCAGAAGGTAGCCTGTCCAAGCTTCCTAGCAGAGACTCAGATTAAGGGTTATGTTTAAGCTATATGTACTCCATATTGTAAAATAATCAACATATTATGTTTGTCCCTTACAGGTGGTCAGTGTTATGTCTTGGGTTACACGCAGCTGTGTCGCTGTCTTTATGGATACAAAGGCCCAACTTGCTCCATTAACATAAATGACTGTGCAAAGAATCCATGTTCCAATGGTGGTACCTGCTATGGCTTACATGGTGACTATGGCTGCATTTGTTCACCTGGATTTACTGGGAAGAACTGTGATGTAAAATCCATAGATGAGTGTGCTATGAACCCTTGTAAAAATGGGGGATCGTGTCATTTTGTGCCTTATGAGCAAAGCATTGCTTGTGTTTGTCCTTTTGGGTTCATGGGAAGCCACTGTGAATTCCAGGCTCGGGAATTTCCCTGGGTTGCCGTGTTTATGGGTGCCGGTATGGTGGGACTCCTAGTCTTATTGTGCATGATCTTCATCGTTGTGAGGCATTTTTCCGTCAGCAACCAAAACAAGACACAAAAACAATGAACAATTTATCAGATTTCCAAAAAGACAACCTGATACCAGCCTCACAGTTAAAGAATATAAACAAAAAGAAGGATCTTGAAGTGGATTTTGGTTTGGATAAATCGAACTACAAGCTAAAAAACCATACGTTAGACTGTAATATAACCAATGGACTAATTGGTGTCGGCAACGGAATTGCAAAAGGAGACAATTTTTACAAAAGTGATAAATGTTTAGAAGAAGAGAAATACCCTCTTCGTTTACACAGGTAGGACAAAAAAAAAGAAAAAGAAAACATGAACCACTTTTAATCTATGCTGAATTTACATAGCCACAATTATTTAAAAAATGGGCCTATCAACATATTTTTCTTTTAAGACATATCTCTACTGTGTTTTAAGACAAGCAATTAATTTAACTTTCCAACTGTCATTTCCCTAGGGAAGCTTTGACTCTGGCAGTTTTTATTTGTGAAATATTTTTAAATCCTGATATATTTATTTTTATGAATAATTTCATTCCCTTCCACCTATAATTTCTTGCAATAGCCATTAATAACTAGAAAAAAGGATGGAGGGACATTAAAGTGGAGCTAAACTCTGCAATACTTTCCTCTCCTTCAATAACATGACATCTGGCGCCGTCATCTTCTAGGTGCTGGACTGCGGCTGTCTTTAATGGCCAGCGTGGGATGATGTCATAAATGCGCTGTACCAGAATGTAAACTGAGCTGCTTGTGCAGCTCAGTGTGTTTATTCTTGCTACTTATATAGTGCCGACAATTTACACAGTGCTTTATGTATATAAAGAACCTGTCTGCTCTCAGTTGTTAAAAAGCAGGACTTTTGTTCCTCTTTAAGCTTTGCCCTAAAGTTTAGCTGAAAGTTCAAGCCAGTGCTTCACTCTGACAGAGGGGCAACACCTATGCCAAAATATTTATTGAAGGTTTAATAAATATTCATATACATTGCTACAAAAATGTGTTCTCTGGATTTATTGTATCTTCTTTGGGTATAGGCATTGCCCTTCTGTTTAGGGAGGAGTGTTCATGGATTTGTATTTGTTTTCATCCTATGAAACACTTGATTGGTATGTGCATCCCTGTCTCAAGGGATGAGCACTCTCTTATACAACTATAATATAGTACAGCCGGCGCCTGCAAGATTTAAATTTTTCCTAAAGGCAGCCTGTCAGCCCCTATGAAATATGTTGGCTAATCATGTGTCTTCATATATCAGTGTATATAGTTCAGTTTCATGCCTGGGGAGGATCCTGGAGCCCAGGCTGTATACAAGACTCTCTTATATCTGACCCCACGACCTCCTGATTGTCTTTTGACTGGAGGTTGTAGGCTCATTGCTGATTTCCAGCAGACTTTGATGTCATCTTTACCACTTTGTCCTGGGATTCAGGGTCCTCCCTAGGGGCACACAGAAACAGATTTGGAGGGAATGTGTGATGCCTGCAATCTTATAAATTAGTATTAACTATACACTCTATGTTGACTTGTTTTAAAGCTGGAAGCTCCAGGGCTGCTATCCTTATCCTTGCTTCTCCTTGTGACTTGGAAAAAAAAAAACATGCTTAAATCAGGATGATAGAGCTAGAATTTGCACTTGTATAGACAAGTTGATGATGGCCACCTGACAGGTTTCGTTTGAATTATAACATTTCAAGCAGTTTCTTCAAGACTCTTTTGAAGAATTAATAGCCTGTTCCGTTGATAATCATAGTATAGTTAAATCATGGTAAAGTGGTTCCTAAGGCTGAAGGCATTTTACCTTCATTCATTCTATGCATGAAAGTAAAAAAACCTTCAGTGTGCAGCTTCCCCCTCTGCTCCCCTTTATACTCACCTGAGCCCGATCCCAATCCAGCAATGTGCACGAGAGCAGAAGCTCTCAGGTCTCTCCCTCAATGGCTGAGAACAATTGGCTCCCGCTGCTGTCAATTACAGGCAGTCAATGAGGAGGGAGCTGGAGGGGGGGGGGGGGGCACGTGAGCCATGCTTATTGTGTCTCTTAGACACACAGAGGTGGTCCAGGAACAAGCACACACGAGCAAGCATCTTTATTCTGGGGGCACTCAGCAGATGGGGGCCTGGAACGCCAGTGGAGGACCCAAGAAGAGGAACATCAGGGCTGCCAGTGCAAAACTATTGCACAGAGCAGGTAAGTATGACATGTTTGTTATTTTAAAACCAATCTGAACCTTTACAGTCACTTTAAATCTGCATACATACAGATATGTCATAATTCCTTCTAAAATGTAGCAAAGACTGAACCTAGACTTTGCACTACCACCCTTGTTTGCTCATGAGTTTTTTTTTCTTTTCCTCTCCAGTGAAAAGCCAGAGTGTAGAATATCAACGATATGTTCCCCAAGGGATTCAATGTACCAGTCAATTTATGTGATAGCAGAGGAACTGAACGAATGTGTGATAGCTACAGAGGTAAGGACACCGCTGCTCAACACCACTCTCAGGATAGTGTTTCTAGTGAAGCTGATACTCCTCCTTATGCCAGAGATGAATCACCTAGATAGGACAGCAGTTCCTTAAAGAAAATTTACAAATGTTTTGCACATATTATATTTTTTGTTTAATGGTCACAAGTAAAAATAAATGTAAAAAATATTTCTTCTTTGGTCGTCTAACAGTAAATGAAGCCCCAAAGCAAGCTTTGTTTTGTGGTCATTTCTTTAGATAATTAGTAAGGTTCTGAGAATCCTTTTTTATGTTATGTTGTGAATATATATTAAAAAAAAAACAATGTTGAATGGTTTTAAAAACGTGTAAACCTATGCAAATTTAGACGAAAACCATTATTTCCATTTAAGGAAAGAAAACTTGCATGAACATGCTTGTACCTGTATTCTACTATGCAAGGTATTCACTGTATATAAACCTCTGTACATGTTTATTTTTGTATGTGCTGTCTATAGGTTATTGGTTATACGAGGAAAAAAAAAAAAAAGCATTTTGGAAAAATAAAATCTGATTATTTAACAAAAAACAAAAAAATCTTTGTACAGGGAGAAATTTGGATACCATTGACCTGAGCTCTCATTCTGAAAATTCTAGTTGCCAAGCTTTTGTTCTCATTCTTATGGCTTTATTGGTTTGAATCCCTGACATGCAGGTGTGTGACAAGTTCTGACTAATTCAGTGACTGAGAAAGTCCTGAAGCCAGTGGTAGCCAGGCAACTAGTATTTTAAAAAGAAGTGCAGCAATGGTACCTACTTAGTCTTTCTTTCAGTGCAGATCATCTTTATAGAGAATTTGTTGGTTGTTCAAGACAAAGTGTCGAGGTCCCTTCCCAGTACAGAAATAACCAAATTGCAACATTGCACTAAGGCCTCTTGCATGAGGCCTAATGTGTATTGTTTAATCCCTGTACGCCGACGTAACACAAATATGCAGCCTCACAGAACTGGGCTTTTTTCCGTGGGGCCGCATATTTGCATACTTGTCTTTCTGCTTGGAGTGCGCCGCACGGCGCGCTCTCAGCACAAAGAACATGGTGTCACTGAGAGCACCGGGTCCCATTCTAATGACCGGGACCCCCGATTCCGGGTCACATGATCGCTGTGATAGCCTCTGATTGGCTATCACAGTGGTCAGTCACTGTACAGCCTGACCCTCTTGTTTTTTTTTTTTTTTCTTTCTCTATGAATGGAGGAGAGAGATATATTGTATCTCTCTAACTCCTGGCATAGAGGGGGAAAAAAATGTTTGTAAAAAAAAAAGATAAATATTTAAAAATAAAAGAAAAAAAATAAAGAAAAAATACCTAGATTAAGGTTCAATCTAGTTCAGTGCCAGGGTAAGTGTTTGGGTCAAGGTCAGAAGGTCAGTGTCAAAGGTCAGGATTTTTAATAAAAAATTGGTGTCAGTGTGTTTTAGGTTAAAAAAAAAAAAAAAGACAAAAAACAAAATGTGCACTATTGTTTCTTGGCTGTACTATGGGTACAAACAACAAATAACATACACATATATGGTATTGCTGCGATCGGCAAGAGCTGGATAATTTATTTTGGGTTGTTCTTTGGTGGTAGGTTATGGTAGTAACAAGAAACACACAGCTAAATAAAAAACATTTTTTTTTTTTTTACTATTTTGGGCCAGTTTCCTTTGATAATAAAAAAAAAAATCAGGAGATATCCATTACCATTTACCACCAAACGAAAGCCCAATTTGTCCTGAAAAAAATAAGGTATAAGTCACCTGGATGTACAAAGTAGTTGTGATGACATGTACGGTTTTACTAACACATATCAAGGTTGCAGAATTGTGTTTTAGGCATTTAGATTTGTTTACCCTTAGGCGTGAAGGGGTTAAGGAAGTCTAATATCATCAAAGTAATATGTTTTCTTCGGGTAATGGGTCACAGTTAAACATTTTAGATGTTGTACAATATACTACAATAAAACATACATGTATTCACACTTAAACTTTGAAGTGGCTATATTTCACATTGCCGATCGTTCTCTTTTTCCATTAATTAGATTTTGAGTCACCTTATTTATTCACAACAAAATGGCAAGGGCAGTTTTAAGCTGACTCCCAAATTCAGTTATCCATGGCACTCCTTCCTCCTTTTGTGGTTGCAGCAAACTCGCAGGCATAATCATGTGCCTCTGTTCAATCTGGCAACTGAGCTTTAGGCCCAAGCATTGAGTCATGTTCAGGAGTCACATGCTCCCCCATAGCCAAAAAAATCTCTTGTTTTTTATGACAGAGGAAGGAATGTATTTTTATTTTGTTTTGGCAATGGCATACATATGTAACTAATAGAAAGTACATACTTTGCAGAAGAGTTTAGTTATCTGTGTTGTATAAATATAATCCTTATATGAATCCTTGCTTTACTAATGCTGTTGTTTTTTTTTTTTTCATAGGTGTAAGCATAAACTTTCAGAAATGTCACATCCTCTCAAAGGCCACAGAATGGAGGCATGCCGTGTAGCCATGTTTACAATTCAGTAATTCAGGACTGGAGGTGATTTTGATCACATTTGTGCAACATGCTGCTTTCAGAAGACTGAATAATCTGAGCTGAAGGGAACAGACTGTGAATTTGCAGGAGTCATAAAAGACTTTACTCCTTGGCTCTTGACGTTTAGGAACTCAATCAACAGAATGTAACAAACTGGATTATAAGAAAAAATTAAATATGATTTCAAGCTGGTTTCTTAAAGTGTCCTTTTGAGGCTTTACATTACTTGTTAAAAAAAACTTTGCATTATAAATTGCTGACAGCAATGGATGTTGGCAATCCATACCATAGAACATCTCCAGAAGAAAGTGAATGGAATTAGTTTGCTATGCAGAACTTGAGTCTTGCTATCAAGGTTGTTCTCCTGCTGTGTTTAGAAGTGCCTAAAGAATGTCCCAAGAGTCCACATGGTGTTGGGTGAGGTTCAACACTTTCCCATGTAATACCTGAACAGTATTAAGCTAAGAGATTTCTTGGAAATTTCTACCACGCTAAAGAGGTTTTGGGACATGCTCGTGGAAAGTGCTGTGTGGACATTTCTGTTAATCCTGTTAGTAAATAACGCACACAGGTTGGTAGCCTGTGTCAGTCTTTAGCCAGCAAACTGTAGTAGTCAAAGCCTTACATTGCATGACAAGTCAATGAAGCTGGCCACTTTTTAATAATTCCTTTTGCACTACTGAGATTTGTGATTTAGTACTTTATTTTCTTTTCAAATAGAGAACACTATCCGTTTGGTGACAGGTCTGTTTTCCACAGCCTTAATGTTGTGAAACTGCATCAAATGCCCTTATTAACATATATAAATGTAGGTTTATTCCAATTAAGTGCATTATGTTATTTAACTTATATACCATGACTGTTATTGCCATAGCATAAAATCTCCAGAGACTTAATTCTAGCTCTTTCCAAACATTCAAAATGCTGTTCACCGAAGTCTGTATCAGTGTTTTTTTTCTTTTTCCTGTAAAAATATTTTGAAATGCAAGAAAACTGTCAGTTCAAAGGCTAAAAAGGCTAAGAGGTTTTTTCCATTCTATTGTGTGACACAAATTTTGTTTAAGCAATAATGTTGATAGCTGTGAGATGCTGTGATTTGTTATAACCAAAATGAATATTTGGAGGGAAGCAGGGACTAGAAAATTAACAGCAGGTATATCCGTTTATTGTGACACATTGCTTAATTCTGTAATATTTTAAAAAAATACACACTGATACAATACTGAGCTAGAACCGAATGTCTCCATTGTTTTCTTTCTTGAAGTCCAACTATAGCGGTAATGGTTGGCTCACCTGAATACGAGACTAGAATTCAATAATAGATGTGTTGGCTGCAGCTTGCTATCAATTTTTGTTTTCGTTGTTTTTGTTTTGTTTAACTAGCATTTCAATAATTTAATGATGAATCAAGAGCACTGAACTTTTTACATTTTATAGCATTGTTTTGTATATAATGTATATTTATAATCAAAACAAATGTAAATATGTTTATTTCTTATGTCATGTTTTAATGTGTTAGCAACAAAGTTTCAGTTATATTTTTGTTATTTTATTTTATTATTTTTTTTTTTTTTGAAGAAATGAAAAACTTCTTAAATCTAAGTTGCTTCCTGCGTGTTCCTCTTTTATTTTTGTTTAAGTCTGAGTTATTGAGAAGCGATTTCTTTTAGATGGTTGTTTTTTTGTGTGTGTATGTGTGTTTTGATCAGTGTAAAGCTGTTTCTACATACCAGTAATTACGCTAGGACTGCACTTGTTGCATGTGCACTTGATAAATTTAGGCAATAAAAAATAGCATGTTAGGGAGAAAAACAGTTTCTGCTTTCCTGTTGCTTTTCCTGTGGCCTTTGTCAAAAACAGGCAAATAGGAAGCAAAAATGCATTCCCACTAATTCTTCTGTAGACGTTTACAGGAAAGAATTGTATGTCCACTTACTACAAATAAATTTGCATCCTGAATGATGTTTGCAGTGATCTACTTCAGACATCAAGAACAATTCTGGTTCCTTAAGTTTAGAGATACATGCAGGGTTTATGGCTTTCCCCTGTGTGAACGGATGTTGTCTGTTGGATGGCTTTAGATTTCACTGGAGCCTCAAATGAAAATAAAGGAACCTTTTTCAGTAACAAATTTCATGTTGCTGTATACATTTCCCAAGTAAAAATATCTATCTTCCAAGCTGTGTTGTTAGACTTTTAATGTTAAAGGGTAATTCCACTTTCATGGGAAAAAATAACAAAAAAAAATATTATAATATATACAATTGTGACACAAGTCATATTGTAATTGAATGTTATTAAAAATTACATTTTTTAATCTGCAGCTCCGCACTTTACTGTAAAATTCATTAAGGCTACCTGGAAGCCTTTTGTACACAGATGTTGTATAGAACACCCCCCAGAAATGTAATTTCCTGCTTGTGTGATTGGCTCACTAATTGTTCCAGAAGTCTGCACTGATACAAGTCAGATTTTTGGCATCCCCTACAACAAAATGTCATTTTTGGTGAGATACCCCTAAAGAGAAATCATATCTAAAGGGATGCAGACCCTGCAATTTTTCTCAGCAGAGCCCTGAAGCTGCAGCAGCTGATAGGTAATTATGAAACCACTCATGTTCTCCTTCACTGTGTACATGGACACAGGAAACAAATATATTAATTTCTTGACAATAACAAAAGGTAATTCAACAAAAGTGGAGTTACTCTTTATCATTATGGGGTTGTTTTGCTAAAAGAGAAGGTAATGCACCATTAGCAAACTAAATGATAGTAAGTAGTGTGAACCTGTGTTCCATTGCGATATCTAATTTTGTGCCAAGAAGCTATATAAACAGTGGATTCTTACTGCTAGCAGGTGATTGAAGTGAACACAGTCATTTTTTTGACTAAGCTCAGTGAACATTCATTTTGCAACAATTTAGAGTAGTGTCAGTGCTGATGTATTGGCAGCTATTTGGACCCCAGACTCCTATGAAAACCAAAATCAGGACAGTCCAGTGCTACATATTTCTTAAAAAACACCAAGCATTACAAACCAAAGTTTGGAGGATTAGGAAGAATAAAGTATAGGAAACGAATGCCTCCAATTAATAGCAGTCGGCATTCACACAAAGAATAAATTACAGCCATACCAAGCCCTCTATTTATTTCTGTAATACAGTCATACAGCATATGCATTTGTCCTTTTTTATTAGCAAAGTGCTGTAACAAGGCTTAAAAACCTTGTGCTGCCAGCAGAAAGAAATACCCCACAGAGGCTATTACACACCTAGCTCTCCCACAGTGGGTCCAACGCCCCACTTACCACTACTCTAATCAACAAGGCTCTTGCTCTTTAACCGCTAGCTTACAGGGCACTTATACCCTCTTCCTGCCCAGGTTAATTTCCAGCTTTCAGCGCTGTCGCACTTTGAATGAAAATTGCGCGGTCATGCAACATTGTACCCATATGAAATTTTTATCATTTTTTTGTGACAGAGCTTTATTTTGGTGGTATTTAATCACCTCTGGGTTTTTTATTATTTTTTCTTAAACAAACCAAAAACCACTGAACATTTTGAAAAAAAAGTTTTTTCTTAGTTTTTGTTATAAAATTTTGTAAATAAGTGGTTTTTCTTCTTCACTGATATGCGCTAATGAGGCTGCAGTGATGGGCACTGATAGGCTACACTGATGGACACTGATAGGTGGCACTGATGAGGAGGCACTGGTAGGTGGCACTGATGGGCATTGACAGGCATCACTGATAGGCAGCACTGATACATGGCACTGATTGGCAGCACTGACAGGTGGCACTGATTGGCATTGATAGGTGGCACTGACTGGCACTGATGGGTGACACTGAAAGGCAGCTCAGATGGGCACTGATATGTGGCATTGATGTGCATTGGTAGGCACTGATATGTGGCATTGATGTGGCACTGATGGGCACTGGCACGAAGCACTGATGAGCACTGACACAAGGCACTGATGGACACTGACAGGTGGCGCTGCTGGGGCTACACTGATCATCAGGGCACACTGATGATCAGTGTACATGTCCCCTCCATGGAAAGCCGATTACCGGATCTCCTCTCCTCTCGAGTTGTCAGCGTGATAGCGCGAGAGGGAGAGAAATGCCGATAACCGGCATTTTCCTGTTTACATGTGATCGGCTGTGATTGGACACAGCTGATCACATGACCAAGCCAACATCTTTGGCTCTTTCTGTGATTGGTGATCCGCTGTGTTCGAGGGACACAGCGCACCGCCGATCGCCATGCTGCATGCTCCCTGAGCGGTGAGAATGGGAGGACATTATATGACGTCCTCCCAGAACGAGAGAACCACCTTGCGTCCGTCATATTACTATATGGCGGGCGGGAGGTGGTTAAGCAATGCCATTAACAAGGCTATATGTAAGAAATATTGGCTGGTTCTGGAGTGTGAAACAAACTATTTAAAGTCAAATGAAACCTGGCTTTCTACTTTACCCACTTCAATACCGGACATATTTACCCCCTTCCTGCCCAGGCTAATTTTCATATTATGCGCTGTCACACTTTGAATGACAATTACTCAGGCAACACTGTACCCAAAATGTTTATCATTTTTTTAGACAGGTAGAGCTTTCTTTTGGTGGTATTTAATCACCACTGAGTTTTTTTACGTTTTACTACGGTATATAAATGAAAAAATGCCAACAATTTTGAAAAAAAAATCCTTTTAGTTTCTGTTATAAAATTTAGCAAATAAATAATCTTTCTTCATAAATTTAGGCCAACATGCATTCTGCTACATTTCTTTGGTAAAAATAACCAAAATCAGTGTGTACTATTTACGCTGACAGTACACATTCCCCCAAAAGGCCTTGTTTTTGGAAAGCAGACACCCCAAGGTATTTTAAATATTTTCTTTTTTTTTTTTTTACATAGTGTGACCAAATCAATACAGTATCACCATAGTGGCACTAAATTACTCTGGAGAGGTGATCAGGATTTGTTTTGTATTTTTTACACTCTGCTTGTTACAGTGATAATCATGATCTCTAATGCTTTTCAAAGGTTCCATTCATCAAACCTTGCTTACTACTGTGATGCTGTGATTGGCCACAACTATCAACTATGATACAGGTCCGCTGTGATTGTCGCCTGTGCCATGTGATCATTGTGATAAACACAGAGATCACAATAGTAAATAGGAACACTTTTGTTTCCATTTGGAACAAAGGTTTTATATCTGTAAATGAATGAAAGCTGACCATTGTAAGAACCACTGACCGTATTAAATGCTTTGCCTCATCCTCCAACTACTACATCTGCAGGACAGCTTGTTCTTCAACAACAACAACAGACTTACTGGCCAGATCACTAGGTGAAAAGAGAGCCTGAAAAAAGAAAACTAATGCAGCCACCACATCTAAGAAATTGGTAATCTGCAGTATAATAAATGTTTGCTTTTGGGCTTAATACTGCTTTAATAAATGTTCACAATGGACCCAAAAGTTGTTAACCACTTGCCCACCAGAAGATTTAGCCCCCTTCCAGACCAGGCCATTTTTTTGTGATACGGTGCTGTGTTACTTTAAATGACAATTGCACGGTTATGCAACGCTGTACATAAATTACATTTATGTCCTTTTTTCCACAAATAGAAGTTTCTTTCGGTGGTATTTGATCACCTGTGAGGTTTTTATTTTTTGTGCTACAAACAAAAAAAACAAAAATTTAGAAAAAATATTTTTGACTTTTTTGTTGTAAAACATATCCAATAAAAAATGTAAAACATCAGATTTCTTCATAAATTTAGGTCAAAATATATTCTGCTAAAAAAAATCCCAATACGTGTAAATTAATTGGTTTACGTGAAAGTTAGAGACTTATAGCAGAACTAAGGCAGACATTTAGACATGGGGTGGGAACTGACTGACTGCCACTGACATCCCAATGACACTAATACAGTTATCAGTGCTAAAAAAAAAAAAAGCATTGACACTGTACTAATGACACTGGGCAGGAAGGGGTTAACATCTGGGGTGATCAAAGGGTTAAGTGTGTGCTGTTTTACGTCCTCCTGTGCAGAGAAATACACAGCAACATGTCCTTGCTGGCAGGAGAGAGACTTGTGTTGTTTACTCACAGGTTTCTCCCCTGACAGTTCTACACGGATATCGCCGGGTGCAGATGGGAAACTCCAGCTGGGACCCGGCGATTGACATCCCTAGCCTGAAATGCAAATCATACATATATATGTATATTTTATATATATATATATATATATATATACACACACACACGTGATTTTGCGCAGCCCTGCCGCCCTGTAGCAGTAGTTTTACTATAAGGTGGCAGGAAAGCGATTAAGTAAGGAGAAAGTTTATCTTGGATACTACTCACGTAATGTGATGTACAGTATAATGGGCACAAATAAAAGAATCAAATCATGTAATTTTCTTTTAGAAATACAGGTGAAACTCAAAAAATTAGAATATCGTGCAAAAGTTAATTTATTTCAGTAATGCAACTTAAAAGGTGAAACTAATATATGAGGTAGACTCATTACATGCAAAGCAAGATAGTTCAAGATGTGATTTGTCATAACTGTGATGATTATGGCTTACAGCTCATGAAAACCCCAAATCCACAATCTCAGAAAATTAGAATATTGTGAAAAGGTGCAATATTCTAGGCTCAAAGTGTCCCACTCTAATCAGCTAATTAAGCCATAACACCTGCAAAGGGTTCCTGAGCCTTTAAATGGTCTCTCAGTCTGGTTCAGTAGGAATCACAATCATGGGAAAGACTGCTGACCTGTCAGTTGTGCAGAAAACCATCAGTGACACCCTCCATAAGGAGGGAAAGCCTCAAAAGGTAATTGCAAAAGATGTTGGATGTTCCCAATGTGCTGTATCAAAGCACATTAATAGAAAGTTATGTGGAAGGGAAAAGTGTGGAAGAAAAAGGCGCACAAACAGCAGGGATGACCGCAGCCTGGAGAGGATTGTCAGGAAAAGGCCATTCAAAAGTCTTGGGGACTTTCACAAGGAGTGGACTGAGGCTGGAGTTAGTGCATCAAGAGCCACCACACACAGACGGATCCTGGACATGAGCTTCAAATGTCGTATTCCTCTTGTCAAGCCGCTCCTGAACAACAAACGTCAGAAGCGTCTTACCTGGGCTACAGAAAAACAGACCTGGTCTGTTGCTCAGTGGTCCAAAGTCCTCTTTACTGATGAGAGCAACTTTTGCATCTCATTTGGAAACCAAGGACCCAGAGTATGGAGGAAGAATGGAGAGGCACACACTGCAAGGTGTTTGAATTCCCGTGTGAAGTTTCCACAGTCTGTGTTGATTTGGGGAGCCATGTCATCTGCTGGTGTTGGTCCACTGTGCTTCATTAAGTCCAGGGTCAACGCAGCCGTCTACCAGGAGATTTTGGAGCACTTCATGCTTCCTTCCGTAGACGAGCTTTATGGGGATGCTGACTTCATTTTCCAGCAGGACTTGGCACCTGCCCACACTGCCAAAAGCACCAAAATTTGGATCAATGACTGTGGGATTACTGTGCTTGATTGGCCAGCAAACTCGCCTCACCTGAACCCCATAGAGAATCTATGGTGCATTGCCAAGAGAAAGATGAGAGACATGAGACCGAACAATGCAGAAGAGCTGAAGGCCACTATTGAAGCATCCTGGTCTTCCATAACACCTCAGCAGTGCCACAGGCTGATAGCTTCCATGCCACACCTAATTGAGGCAGTAATCGCTGCAAAAGGGGCCCAAACCAAGTACTGAGTACATATGCATGCTTATACTTTTCAGAGGTCCGATATTGTTCTATGTACAATCCTTGTTTTATTGATTGCATGTAATTTTCTAATTTTCTGAGATTGTGGATTTGGGGTTTTCATGAGGTGTAAACCATAATCATCACAATTATGAGAAATCACGGCTTGAACTATCTTGCTTTGCATGTAATGAGTCTATCTCATATATTAGTTTCACCTTTTAAGTTGCATTACTGAAATAAATGAACTTTTGCACAGTATTCAAATTTTTTGAGTTTCAACTGTATAGAAGATGCCCTCAATTGTAAGGTTAGATCCCCAGCTCTACATACTTGTCCTGGATCAGTGACACCCTAAGTAATGAAGCAAGGATTAGTATGATGACTGGGAGTGTTAAAAACACTGTTTGACTGACAAGGCAACATTGTAGCACATCGAGATGAGCTTTATCCCAATTAAGGATGTGGCTTTTAACTTAAACAGGACATAGATGATTCGATTTTCACTTGATTTCCCTACCAACACAGCCAACGTTGATGGAGGAATGCCTCCTGCAGTGCTGTTGTGTTCTCCAGGCAGAGGGGGCACAGGGAGCCTTCCCGGCTGGCAGAACACAATGATTACTGATTCCCGCTAGCAGTAATCACATGTAGAAAAATTTGACAGGCTGGATGTACCCAAGCTGATCTATGGATGGATTTGGGTACAATCAGCCTGCCCATACATGGATCAAATCTCAGTGGATCCCTGTTGAATAGGTCGAATTTTGATCGAAGTATGCACGGCTTTAGTGGTGCCAAAGTTGTTAAAGTGGAGTTCCAGTCATATTTGTAAAAATGAACAGTCAGCATCTACAAAAACTGTAGCTGCTGACTTTTTTAATAAACAGATACCTGTCTCAGGATCTGGGCTCACGCAAGCCGTTTTCTCCACCCATGTTCAGTCCTCGGCATCTTAACTGTGGGCACCTGGTTGTGTGGCTGGGTGCTCACTGCACATGCGTGAGCCCACTGTGCATTGTGAATGGTCCCATGAAATGTCCCAGAAGACTGTGGGTGCCATTTATTAAAGAGGAGTGCGAGGCAGGAGGCCTTAAAGCAGAATTTGCCCTTTTGGGTGAGGCTCCACTTACACAGTTACATAGTTAGTCTGCCTGAAAAAAGACAAAAGTCCATCCAGTTCAACCATAGAAAAAAAAAAGTTATAATCCTATACCCACAGTTGATCCAGAGGAAGGCAAAAAAAAACCCCCAAGCATGGTCCAATTTGCACCTGATGGGAAAAAAATTCTTCCTGATCCCCCGAGAGGCAATCAGATATTCCCTGGATCAACTTTTCCTATAAATGTTAGTATCCAGTTATATTCTGTGTATCTAGGAAAGAATCCAGGCCTTTTTTGAAGCAATCCAC